ATATATATATATAATATATATATGATATGATATATGATATGATATGATATGATATATGATATATAATACTAATTGAAGCTACAATAGTTTATTCATTAAATTATTTGAAATGGTAGTAAACTTATAAAATTACATATAATTTCTTTTTCTATTAATAATTGTTAATATTACATTTACATTTCTGTTTTTTTTTTACTATATTATTATTGTTTCTATCAATAATCAGTGCAAAGTTATTAATAGTTACTATTAGTAAAAAAAACAGTACACATTACCTCCAGGCAAATCAGTTCCAAAGATATCAACTTTCTCGTTGGGTCCATCTCCATACCTTTGATTCAGCATACAAGGAACGTTCTTTTTCGCTTTATGACTTGCTGAAATTAACAAAAAACTTCACCAATTTCCAGAAAATATTCTTTTTAAAGAACCACAAACCTTCAGTAACAATTTCCACGTGTTTCTTAACAACTTCATCTGTGTTCAACCGTTTTGACCATCTCGATGGTGCATAAAGCACATCCATTTCGGACGCCATACTTGTTTCTTAACACTTGTTGGGATTCCTTCGTCACCGGCTTTACATTCACTGACGTCTTCTAACACACCGACGAGCGATATATGCGTGACCTGTTTTCACTTATTCCTGATAAAGTTTTGATAATATCATTGGTTAGAATGAATCCTGTAAACAAATATGATAAAACGTGTTTATGTCTCAATCCTATTAGAAAATAGAAAACAAAGCAACTGCAATCAAATGATTATTTTATTTGATAAATATATTTCAATATATTGGTTTAATAAAGAACAAAATTTGAAATAATGAATTTTCCAATTTATAAACAGACTTCGCATGATAAGTTCCGACAATATTCCGCACTATTTGAAACCGGACTAATTGAACACTTTAAAACTTCATGAAAAATAAACTGGACAAAAATAGACTTAATATAATATCATTGGTTAAAATGAACCCTGTAAACAAATGTGATAAAACTTATATATGTCTCAATTATATTTGAAAATAGAAAAAAAAGCAACTATAATCAAATAATTAATTTATTTTCTAAATATATTTCAATATACAAATAATATTGGTTTCATGAAAAACAATATCTGAAATATTGCATTTCTCAATTGCATAGTCCTGTCAATATTCCGCACTATTTGAAACCGGACTAATTGATCACATTGAAACAGGACTAATCGAAGCCGCAATATAGGATATACGAAATATTGCTCTATACTACATTGAAACATTTGCAATTTTGCAAATTATTAGTTTTACCTCCTGTGTAATCATATTTCAGCAATTATTCAGTTCCTTGAAAACACTTTACCTCTTATTATATCGAGCAAACGCCCACCCTTCGTGCAACGCGGAATATTATTATCGGAGCGAGGAAAGTGGAAAATCTGGTTTTCAAATGCTTCCGAGTGAATTCGCTTTGAATAAAAATGCTTATCGAAAAATTAAATCGCACATGCTTCTTTCCAACAAGTATGAATAAAAAGCGCAGTAGCTAACGTATGTTTATTCTTGTTATATTTGAAATAAGATCTTCAGAGAAAGATGTTTTTTTTATGATAGGTTTTTGAAAAATTACAGATGCACATCTGGTCGCAGTTGCAGATGGTCAAACTCGTGGACCCATCTGCTTAAGTAACATCTTATGCGTGCTTAGATCATTATCGATGATGCATAAAATTACTAATACATCTATTATAGCAAGGATAATTATAATAATTTATTAATAATATAATTCTTAATTTATAAACATTAATCGATTATGAATATTTCTGATTACATTAGAGTTTAGATGAATTTATATATTTAGTTTACTTTGTACACATTCCAAATGTGAATTAGTTATTTCTTAACTAATTCACTTAACTTCTTATTAGTTAAATCTTACAAGTTTATAATTTATTAATAGAAAGTTTTACAAAATCAGTAGGAATGAATGCATAAATTAATAATTAAAAAAAATACATGTCTCTTGTCCGTTTCTAAATTATTTTGTAAGTTATATTTATCCGATTATTTTATTTCCTTTATAAATATGAGTTTTCATTATTAGTCTACCAATGATGTAAATATGTTATATGCAAAATTTTCTGAAATACATTTAAAAATTTAGAAGAACTTTTTTTGTTATAAAAGATCAGAAACTCTGAATTTGTCGGATAGTATTTATATAAATTAGTAATAATTAGTTGTATTAACGGAGAATCTTCACATGTTTGAATAACTTAAATCTCGCCTTAACAGATCTTAGTCTGAAAAAGACTAGTGGTGCATCGCTAAGAACTAAGATTTGATAAGTACACACTGACTATGGATATAATTTTGCAAAGGAATAGTTTTCTTTATAAAAGGTTTGGCGGATATATACGCTGTTCGTCCGAACGAAACCATCATCTTCTGCATTTAATTAATTCATATCATCCTATTATATGAACAATCTGAATAATTTATAATCTTCTGGACTTATTTTAAACTCCATTTAAGCATTTCTTATTTTCATGAACTATCATTTGTTTAGTAGTGTAGTTTAAAAGAAAAAAGAAGTAAAAATGTATGTTTAATAAAACTTAATATTGCGGACTTCATTATAATGAAGCTTTGTTATCACAGGTATATTTAATCAAGTTATGACTGTAGTTCAATATTGATCATTAAAACAAATAAATAAAGATGTAACTAAAACTAAGGAACAACAATATCCAAATAAAATAAAAAAATGAAATATATTAGCCGATATTTTTATCATTGAAAAATGCGATTATCTTATATATATTATATTAGTAATAAAACAATGCATAAAATGAATCCTATAGTAATCTAAATTGCGTATTATTATTGAACAAATAAATAGATTAATTATATAAATAAATATTACAATCAATTTCTTTCAGTTTGTGTTTTTATTAATTGATATTAATTATATTTAATTGTGACTTTGTCTGATTGTGGTAATGATATTTATAAAATTTCCTTAAAAAATAATAAAAAGAATTCAATTTGATTAGTTGAAGAAAGAAGTGCACATTTTTAAATGTAGGAAATTAATGTAAGTTAATTATACAGTAATACCTCGCACAGTGCGGTTTTGATCCCGGATTTACTATAGTCACTATTAATAAAAGTAGATATAGGCAATAAATTAAACATGAATGTAACTACAGTTTATTTTCTTATCAAGATACAAACACGCAATCTACTATGTTTTTTGATAAGTTATTACTAAAACAGCTTTAGAAACACGTCAAAAGTTAATGAAATATCAAAAGGATGGAATACAATGAAATGAATACGTGTGATTCCATGCCGTGATTCCTTTTTAAATGACGCAATTACAGTATGTTTTCATGCACAAAAAAAAGCGAAATAAAAATGCGGGCAAATATAATCTCGCGTATGGCATGAGCTGACAATGACAAACGGCAGCTTGTAATACATTTGTGTGTGGAATAGCATTAAAGTACGGTTCATCAGTGCATAGAATAATTTCCTTCTGCAACAGTTGGATGTAGGAATTCCGAACGACAGAGAGAATAGTCCAGTCATTCCTCCGCCACTCTTAACCCTCTCTCAACCTTCCGTCTCTTTCTCACATGGTGTCGCACAGGGAATTTATTACAAGCATTTCAATGCATTTGCATACAGAATCAAGAGCATCATAAATTCCTCTGCGAGTTTCGGTTGATAAAACCGAGATTATCGCATTAAACCAGTTCGGTTTGTTGTGACAAAAAATGTGTGTATATAACGAAGAGCAATTGCAGAATATGCATATATTTGTAGTACTTTTTTGTGTTATATGTAATGATCAATCCTGACTAAAAATTCAAATAACAACTAATTTCAAAGAGAAGAATAAATCATTTTTTTATTGAAATATACTTTAACCCCTTAGTGTATACGAGTAAATTTATGACGCGTATATATTCGTCATAAGAGCTACGCAATACAAGAGACAATGACGAATGTATACGACATAACGACTTAAGAGGTTAAAATAAAACGTTTTTTTATAAATTTTATATTTAAAAACCGATATTTCAATTAAAAATAACCGGTATGAATAATTTCAAGAAACTTTAGTTTTTTGAATATGTTATATTGACCTAACTATATTTTTTCTCAAAAAGTTCGAATTTATATTATTGCAAGACGAATTCGAAAAATACGAAAAAAAGACGAAAAATATATTATTGTACGAATTCCCAAGTGTCAAATCATCATCAAATTTGAGAATCGTAAAAAAAATGAATCAAAAATTAATTGTGTAATAATTTTTGTTTTATTTCAGCTGAAGTTAATGGTATAGGATTTACTGCAAGAGTAAAAATCAGTTCCATCGGAATATCTTTATGCGAGACGCGGAGACAGTTTAAAGTGGAGTATTAGATTTTATATGTTTTGTTACTGGATTGTAAATCTCTCCTGAAAATGGGGGGAACTGTAATGGCTCGTAAAAAATTCGTTTCTGAGGAACGGTAATTGCAACTTGTGCTCGGACTTTCAGAGAGAATCCGCTCATTAATTGCGGCAATAATGAAAAATTAAATAAAAATATACCATATACGGAATGTAATGTTATTTTTTGATGTTATCAGTTTGTTAAATTGTAGTAGGAATGTTTATCAATTAAGATGTTCCTTACATATGGCAATATAAGTGAAATAAATAGTTTTTACCTATATGTGATAATTATAAAGTTTTGATTAGGTTGTTACATAAGCCCGTTCACATTTTCAACCGTTTTTCTAAAAAGGACTTTATTATTAAATTTATTGTCCATTATTTTGTATCACTCTTGCCCAACGTTCAGACAATTTCACAATACCGTCTCTCGAGAAGGCTCCGACTTCATGCTCGAATGGTGAAATTTGATGTCATCCAAAGATTCCATTTTTTTTTTCATTAAGGTCATTTTGTAGAGAGCGGAACAAATGGTAGTCGGGCGGTGCAATATATGGAGAGTGAGGTAGTAAATCTCATGAAATCCCTATCAACATTTGTACGAAGATTACAGATGTATGAAAGTCATATTGAAAACATATTCGTAGTTTATTAACGAATTCAGATAGGTTTTGGGCCAGAGCTCTCACAAATTATCAAGTTGTTCAGAGTACTTGACCGATTTGGCAGTTTCATTATTTGGTAGCAGCTCATAAACACACCAAAATGCACAGAATCACTTGCAATGGAAGTAGGCTAATCATTGGTGATGTCTGGGGAGCACAATCTTTTTTAGACCAAGATCTACGGTTCATAACATTGTTGTCGAGTATCCAGTAATCAAATTCTGGAGAAAATATTGTTGCTGGTTTCTTTTAATGAGCTGATCATAAACAAGCGATCATTCAGATCATATATAAGAATGATTGACATAGTCATCAGCATCAATATGTCTTTGGACTGTTAACATACATGCGATATATTGACGACGTCCGCTATCACTGCAGTCATTATCTTGGAAGTGTTAGTTTTTATAGGCCGTTCGGAGCGTTTCCAATTTGTAAGCTCAAACTCACTTCAAAGCTCACTTCTGAGCCTGACATACCGCTTTGAAATACCAATTTTCTCGTTTTTTCTTCTATTTCACCCTACACAAGGTCACTTGTTTGTGAGAATTAAATAAACTTTGCAATAATATGTAGCCACAACAGTAC